TCTTCACATTCATTCAGACGTGGTTTTGCCACTCTTGCATTTAGGAATAATGTTAGTTCTGATGAAATTCAAATTCTTGGAGATTGGCATTTCTGACGTTTACAAACGTTACATTTCACTATCTATAGAGGATAAGTGTAAAATAATTTAAAGATATTTCACATATATTTTATGTTTAAAAATACATGTATAGTATGGCATTGTATTTAACAAAGTTTTATGTTTTCAGAACATGTAAATCATCCACCACTACGCAAGTGTACAATAGTCTCCGACTCCATAGCGAAAAATGTTTCTGGAATTTGGGATACCAAAATTACAGCCTTTCCAGGGATTAATATTTCAAGATTAAGCTATAGAATTTCTCAAGGTCAGGTAGATTTAAGATCTTCATTCATTATTTTACATGTGGGCACCAATGATGTTACTGGTCCCCGTTCAGAGGATGAGATAATTTCATCCTTTAATGATTTGATATCTAACGTTCGACATCAATCTAATGGTAGTATTATCGTATCTGCTATTATTCCTCGACCAATTGATTTTGAGTCCACTGGTGATAGAGTTAAAAATTTAAATAATAAGTTAGTTTTATTATGCAACTCCAGAAAGGTTTTCATTTATTAGAACCTTCAAGCCATTTCTTAAATGTGGTTTACCACGTCGTGAATATTATGCCATTAAGGATGGGGGGTTACATTTAAATCTTGAAGGGACCCGACGTTTAAAGGAATTCTTTATAAATACTATTGCGCACTTGAAATAATAAGTGTTGGATGATACATGAATTGGGATAAAAGATTATAAAGAGCATTATTATAAATAATCTTTAAGATAAATGTTCAAATGGGTAGTATTAGAAATATGCTGACTTTATGCTTTTGTTTGAGATACATTGTTTCTCATGAAAGGCTTGATCTTACAAATTCGGCATTGGCCGGCATTGAAGGTTATTACTGCTAAGGAGATAATATGTAAGTCTCTTAGTGGGTTATTTAATAACTGCTCATTTGTATTGATGATTTGTTAATTTGTTTCTGATTCAGTTGTTGCATTGAATCTTATAATGATTTGAATTTCTTTACTATTAAATTATGTTTTTTGTCTTTGCCCGAGATACACTGTTTCTCAGGAAAGACTATCTTGCAAGCTGGCGATGGCTAGTCTTGAAGGTTATACTACTAAGGAGGTAATAAGAAAGCCTCTTAGTAGGTTTTGTTCATAGTTTGTTAAGTGTATTTATATGCTCTTGCTTACTTGTTTGTTATTTTGGCCGTGGGTTTGGCTTTATGGTAAATATATTACTCTTGTAGTAATCATTATGCTCACAAATAGACATTCAAACAAGTTATGATGTGAGTTATAAATGTTTTAAATGCATAATATAAGTGTGTTCTCATACAATGTTTGTATGAATTTGTCTTTGATCACTTGTATATTGAAATAGATGACTTATATATGTGGTGAATGTTATGTATGAATTTGATTCATGTGATCTCTCAATTGCCTAAAAATATATATTCATATGACAAAAATTTTCTTTTGTTATTTTTTCTGATTGAAAACTGATAATTTGGATTATTTTGTTTTAAAAATAACTTAATTATAAGATTGAATGAAGTTGACCTTTTCAGTGTTTTTTCATTAGTCGATTTTTGTTTATGGTTTACGTCAGCAATAAACATCTTTTTTATTGGTCGCTTCTGTTTTTGGCGGTAGATTTACGTCAGCAATAAACATCTTTTTATTGGTCGCTTCTGTTTTTGGCGGTAAATATTTTTGACCATTTGTTTCCTGGGCCTTTTTGTCATTCTGTATTTCGTCGACTTAGAGATCACATGTTTTGATAATTAAAAAATTTTCCCACCCTTCCCTCCCAATTAATATGTTGATGGTTAATATTATATTATATATTATATTGGTTAATATATGTATTTTATTAAAATTTAGATATTACTTTATGGTAAATATTACTCTTGTAGTAATCATTATGCTCACAAATAGACATTCAAACAAGTTATGATGTGAGTTATAAATGTTTTAAATGCATAATATAAGTGTGTTCTCATACAATGTTTGTATGAATTTGTCTTTGATCACTTGTATATGAAATAGATGACTTATATATGTGGTGAATGTTATGTATGAATTTGATTCATGTGATCTCTCAATTGCCTAAAAATATATATTCATATGACAGAAATTTTCTTTTGTTATTTTTTCTGATTGAAAACTGATAATTTAGGTCAGGTTTTGTTTTGTTTTTGTCTCATTAGATCTAGCACTCTTTATTTTCTTATGTTGAATATAGGTCATGCTTTTTTTTTCATAACATTAAAATACACCTGTCAATATGCCTATATAGATGCTAAGATGTAGTTTATCAGTTGTATACAATCAAATTAATCCTTTTCCACGAGTATACAATAACTATGCAAATTCTTATTTAATTGATGTTTACATGTTCTACTTCTGTGAAGACACGTGACATTATCAGGTTATGACATTTCTCAGTCTTCTGCTAAATTTGCTAAACTGATACCTTTTTGATCAAATGGTGAATACTTCCAGATGCTTCGAAACATTTAATATCCATCTTTCGAATATTTAAACTAATCATTCGTTGATAATCGTCTATTAATTAATTTATCTTACTTAACACATTTTACGCGAAGTTACCCGGTAAGGCTTTACACAGCGGACGATTACACTACCTTTTGGGTATATAGCGCAGTTTCGATGCAGCGATTTAATTCAGGCTGCACAAATACAATACGAATAAACTCTGTTTCTTTTAAAAACAATATAAAATGGTGTTAATAATGTTCAAAATTCACATAACTATTAAAAAGCGTAGATTATTAAATTAGTTTCAGCCATCCAATATCCGAAAATGGAACATTCCCAGACAAGAATTTATAGTCCTTTTCAAAAAAATAAATGGAGTAACACACTATCACTATTGTCAACCCCGTTAAGCAAACAATCTGTCACGTGACCTCACAAGGTATTTTTGTTCAAATGTATTATTCGCTGTATGCTCACATGCTTGTAATCATTGCTTGAGCTAAATAAAGTTTATGTTGTTGTTGTTGTACTACAAATATAATGTACTTCAACATTGGGAAGCAGTGTATCTTAAACTTTTAATGATGAATATTTTACTAGATGCCTGATCAGGAAGCAATGTTCCCAAAACGGGAAGTGTCTAGTTTTTGGTAAAATCAAAAAACTTTACTTAAGTATACTTTCAGATTATTTTAATTGTAGACATTTTAAAAGAAAATGACTAGGTAGGATTTTAGATGTATCTTTTCTGAACTAAAATTTAATATTCATATTGAAGTGGATTGAAAATTGTTATGCACCGGCCATTTTTCTTGAACTACGTAAAAAAGGCCAAAATAACTTCCCGACCGGGAAAGATTTTGACGTTTGTTGCCTGATCGGGAAACCAAGAAGGGGAACCCCCTTGTTTCCCGATCAGGAAGTATGCCCGACTGCATATAGTCAGACGTAATCTTATAAAATATGCACGTTCACATAAGGAAGCTTAAATTTTTAAGGTAAAGGTCGTTTTCCATGTAAGTAAACCTATTAAGGCATTGAAGGTCACTACTAGTTGTTCCGTAAGGTAAAACTACAACGATGAAAAGTACGTCCAACAGTTTCAGGAATTCGTGTGTTCGGATAATAATGGTTTTAAATGCAACCTGAAAGTTTTCCATGAATTAGAGCAAGAAATCGATCAGCAATATATTGTATTGTCGCTCATATGTCTTAATTAAAATTGTTTTAATATTAATTTTGCACAAGCATTGATTATATGAAAATCCGACACTTGTTTTAAATAGCTAAATAAAAAGTTAACCCATGTCCGCATTTTAATATGTTATATTTTGATTAGTAATCAAACGTTTGCATTTCATATATTTCATCTGTTTCAGGTTTTTGTTTTTCATGTATTAGATTGTATTGGCAATTACAGATATTTAGTCCATGGCAGTATGTACATTTTTATTCTTTAATGTATAACTTAGATATACATGTACTTTATTTTAATACATAAGGGCATGTTAAAAATATGTCAGGCGAATTATAATTTGAATAGATCTAGTCTAAAAACAAGTGTACAATGATATTGTTTAAGTAGAATTATGAGAATATACATATTTGTTTAATCACATTAAGATCCGATCTCGGTAAAACTTTGTTTATATACTAACTTAACATCGTCAAAAGAAAGATATTGTTCTTTGATTCGCACATGAGAAGATATACTTTTACACAAAACGTCCTTTTTTTACAGTGTAATTTTGAACACTCATTACTTTAAAAATTATTATCAAAAATGAATTTGACAAGACCAATATTTGCATTTGGCTAAAAAATAAACACATTTCGGACAACAAATTTCTATTTACTAATTAGTATTTATACAATTAACACAAAAGTATTAACCAGTAAATGTTATTCTGTTTACTTCAGACGTTATGTGAAGTGAAATTAAACGAAAAATAATTAAACTTAAGCTACAATTCCAAGCAGTGTGAAAAAATCAAAATATAATTTCGTGAAAAGAAAAATGATCAAAACATAAGTTCAAGGAACAGAATATATTACATATAACTATTCTTAATCTCTTTAACAATGTTGAATTATCGGATAAATGTTACAAAGGCGTGAATATGCAATGCTAACAGCAAGGTTATGTAGTGGGAGCTAGTGGTCATCAAGTGATTTTAATATTACTGTGCGTTATTTTAGTTCAGTGCAGTAAATTTAGAAAATTCCTTGATTAGATTTCTTTGTCGTCCATGAGGGATTTTAAGTATTTTTTCGTCATTTCGGGATGTTATTTATAACCGACACATCATTCTCCATTTACTTCCAGGATTGAATGAAAGTTGTATTACACCTGACCAAAGTTGTAGTGTATGCTGTGCTAGTTCAAGGTGCCATTCTGATGGCCATTTTGCAAATGCATGTTCCGATAGATGTATAGATGGTCATAGAGGTGGTCGATGCTATGAGCTTTGCGATTTTTCATGCAAAACTTGTGAAAGCAATATAAGTTACTGCGATTCATGCTTTGATGGATTTTTCCTAGGACTGAATAAAGATTGTAAGTCTGAGTGTCCTACCAACTGTAAAACATGTACTTCTGATACCATATGTCAAAAATGTAAAGAAGGATTCGTCAATAAAGATGGATACTTTGATTGCAGATATTCAAATTGTCCTGAAAATTGTTATTGCAATTTCTCAACATGCGTTATGTGCAAAGATGGGTTTTATGACACAAGAGAATCATGCATGAACAAATGCCCGGATAATTGCTATAATTGTTCAAATTATACGGTCTGTAATTCCTGTAAAGATGGATTTTATAGTAGTGGTGATCAGAAAGTATGTTCAAATACATGCTATAAGGATTGCATAACCTGCTCTTCGCACGAGAAATGTTTAAAATGTCAAACCGGAAAGTTTGGTAATCAATGTCAGAATAACTGTTCATTTGGCTGCAGAGATAATGTTTGCTTTATTGGAACAGGAAAATGTCATTGCTTACCTAACTTTGATGGTGAAACTTGTTCTGAATGTGTACATGGTTATTACGGATCCTTTTGCGACAAGGAATGTCCTGATAATTGTAAAAACAATACGTGTGGAAGATCTCTCGGGAACTGTACAAAAGGATGTAAAACAGGTACAATGACTGGCAATTTCTGTGAAAATTGTATTGTGGGAAAATATGGCTTATATTGTGAGAACAATTGTTCGAAAAATTGTTTAAATGGAAAGTGTGACAAAGAGAATGGTACATGTTCTGAGGGGTGTAAAGGTGGTTTCAAAGGATATTTTTGTTTGGAATGTGTTCAGGGTAAATATGGAGATGAATGTAAAGATGATTGTCCAGATACTTGTAAAGATAACAGATGTGAGAAACAGTCTGGGTATTGCTTTGGATGTATAGAACATTTCGACGGAATGATGTGTGATAACTGTGAGCCTGGCTTTTATGGCTCGGATTGTGAACAGATTTGTTCTCCAAATTGTATGAATGTTTCCTGTAATAAAATTTCTAGTGAGTGTCATCTGGGATGTAAAGGAGATTACTCTGGAGATAAGTGTTGTATAAACAACAAGAATTGTTTATACTGTGCAAATACCACAGCTTGTCGTGAATGTAAATCTGGGTACTTTGGTCAAACCTGTAATCAGACATGTAGCGATCTTTGTATAAACAATGTTTGTGAGATAAATACAGGTATTTGTACAGAAGGATGTCAAGCGTCTTCGCAAGGTGATATAATTTGTGTTCGAAGTCAAGATCAAGGTAAGTATTTGTATTTCACTAGCACTCAATTTAAGTGATACCGAGTTTCCAAATAATTGTTTGAATGGATGCGTAGATGGCCATAGAGGTGGTCGATGCTATGAGCTTTGTGATATAACATGCAACTATTGTGATAATGATATATCCTACTATGATACTTGCTTTGGTGGATTTTACCTTGGATCGGATAAAGATTGTAAGTCTGAGTGTCCTTCCAACTGTAAAACATGTACTTCTGATACCAGCTGCCAAACATGTAAAGAAGGATTCGTCAGTAAAGACGGTTAATTACTTTGACTGTAGATATTTAAATTGTCCTGAAAACTGTTATTGCAATGTGAAATGTGCAGAGATGGGTTTTTTTTGAAAAAAGGGGATCATGCCTGAACAAATGCCAGGGTAATTGCTATAATTGTTCAACTTATACGGATTGTTATTTCTGTAAAGATGGATTTTATAGAACTGGTGATCAGAAAGTATGTTCAAATACATGCTATAAGGATTGTATAAGCTGCTCCTCGTACGATGAATGTTTGAACTGTAATTCTGGAAAGTTTGGTCGTCAGTGTCAGAATAATTGTTCAGTTGGTTGCATAGATAATGTTTGTCTAGTGAAGCTGGAAAACGTAATTGCTTACCTAATTTTGATGCTGAAACTTGTCTTGACTGTGTACCTGGATATTTTGGTACTTTGTGTGATAAGGAATGTCCCGATAATTGAAAAAATAATGCATGTGGGAGAACTTTTGGAAAATGTACAGAAGGATGTAAATCAGATGCAATGATTGGAAGTAACTGCAAAAAATGTAATGTTTGAAAATATGGCTAAAATTATGAGAAGAATTGTTCGAACAATTGTTTTAATAAAAAGAAAATGCAAAGAGAATAGTACATGTTTCGATGGTTGTAAGGATGGTTTCAATGGGTCATTTTGTTTGGAATGTGTTCAGGGTAAATACAGAATGGAATGTAAAGGTGATTGTCCAGATACTTGTAGAGACAACAGATGTGACAACAGTCTGGGTATTGATTTGGATGTATTGGACTTTTGACGGACTGATGTGTGATTTCTGTAAACCTGGCTTTTATGGCTCATATTGTGAACAGAAATGTTCCTCAGAGTGCATGAAGATAAAATAAAGTGAATAACCCATACACAGGAAACTTGTTATATATAAAATCATTTTGGTTTTCTTCCTTCCTCTAATTGTTTAGTTAAATAATCAGTGCACTTTGTTCAAACACTCTCGTCGATTGAATTACTCGTAGTTGAAAATAATATTTAAGAAAATTGGAGATAATTAACACGTTTTCGGATACAGCCGAGGAAGATATAGCGGTTTATGCACTTTGATTGAAAAAGAGCCATGTATTTTAATTAAAAAAAAAGAGAATAGAGGAAACATCTATTAAATTGGGGTCATGTACAAATTTGTATTTGTAATCCTATATTCTCTATTATGAGTGTTTTCTTAAAAAGATATACATGTATGTTGGTGTGATTGCAAGTAAATACCTCTTGACAAATAAACTATAGTTGTGAAGAGTAATGAAAGAATAGCAATCTTTGTATAATATTCATTGTGATTTGCATTTACATAATGCTATGAATATATAAAATTTGTTTATTTTTAGAAAAAGCAAAAATTGAAAACACAAATGGTTCAAAGGACACGTCGTTAACTGCAGTTTTTGCAACCCTTTTTGCTATTGCAACCGTTGCACTATGTGTGTTGATATCGAAGATGGTTCTAGAGAAATTCTTCACAGCAAAAAGGTTAAAAATGTTTTATTTTATGCTTAAGAATTAAATACACTGTTTCATCTCTAATAGTTTATCACTCACAGTGAGTGTGATATAGATTTACCGATTTCCTGTGTTGCCATGACTAATTATTTATATGATAACTAAATTTGAAAATTCACATGAAAAACATGCGTTTTGTAAGTATATAACTCGACTCAAAAAAACATTTCTCCGTTAAAATAATTGAGTTACTTAAAACTTGACTTTTATGTCCTGGCGCGTTTGTGTAGCCTTCAACGGATTACGTCAACATTTTTACGTGTTTCCCGCGCTTTATTGAAATTACATTTGTAATCGAAAATTGCTGTTTTTTACGGGATACGCATAAAGTAAAAAAAGAGAATCAGTAAATATACTGTTTCTTTCACATCGAAATTAAAAATATACACATTGCATTTTCAATTTCTCAGTGCAATATATTAAGAGTATTTACCCCCAAACCAACACATATCCTCTATTAAGTTATCGTTACAATATTAATTGAAACAAGTCCATTTATTGAAGCAAGCCCAGAACTCCCGTTTGAGTATTGTTTCACGTTTTGTTTCATAATGACTAAACATTTTTTGATCTGCACTCAATATATTTATAATGTATAATTTAATTTCAGAAAACAAAAGGATACTATGGAACTAAGCTCCACAACCGAAATACAGAATATCTCAAATAGTTGTAAGTATGAATACTTCTTTGAATAATGAATTGATGCATTAAACTAAAAAAAAGATGCTAGGAAATTAAAAAAATGTCATAAAATGACATTTGGTAATTGAAAATGTTTTAATTACAATACCAATACATTTAGAATTGACGTTTAGAAAATCAGTAAACATATTTGAATTATTTACTAGTACTTGAAAAATCAGTAAATGAACTCGAAATGGGTCAATAAAATATTCCTTCATTCATATGATGACAAATAATTTTGTTGGTTGGTATGTTGGTTTTAGATAGCTTAAATACTTTTGAATTAATCTGACTGTCCTCATATCAATTTGCGTCAAAATACATTATTGCGTGAGTTATTATTCTAAGATCTAACTATTCTGGGAAGGATTATTAGCTCAGGCTTATGTAACTGTAAATTCAATCGGACAAAAATAAACCAAGGGCGCCACAATATTTTAATTTGGACTAATATTCGGGCCAATTTGTTTAAATGCTGACAATTATTCATAGAAGTTAAATAGCTTTACAATTTATCCAGCTAATATTTCATAGAAAAGTCTTTAAATGGTGTTTTGCTTAATAAGGGGTTAAAAGTTTGACAATGTCAAATAAATGCTCGCAAAAGTACCAATGTAAGTTCAAATCCAACGACTATTCTAAGAAGGTTCTACATTTGGAGATACATGAATCGCAAACCGGTCTATGTATGGAGAGCGTGACAGACGGACAATCGAAAATGTATGAATGTACGTTTCTGAAGGTAAATCTAAATGCTAGCCCCAATGCATCCCCAAAAAGTATCGGGGTGCTACAGTAACAATTTTCCGTTAATTGAATAAAACGAAGGTTAAATCTAATAACATTAATATGATACAAAATCAACAGTAACAGAAACAAAAAACAAAACAATAAAAAACCCTGTTCATTAATATCAAATATCAACTAACATTTCAGATGAAATTGTAGAAAACGAAAACGTAAAATACGAGACATTGGATGGAACGCAATGTAGTAAGACAATTATTGCTTAATAGTTCAATATTACTATTTATCTTGAAGTATTTTAACCAGAATATACTATTTCTATTGATAAAATAAAGAATAATAAGATATTCAGTATCTGTCTTAATTACTTTTTGAATTTCCAGAAGTGAAAAAAATTACAATTATTTTGCTATTCGTCTGTATAAAAGTATTCATAAATATTAAATTGATAAGTTTTGAACTTTTAGCTGATGATCACATGTACGACTCAGCTAACGTCCATAGATCGGGAGGTAACAATCATTCTGTTATTTTAATGTAAACATTTCTGTTTGCGCATTGTAAATTTTCACCTAGCTTTCATAAAGATATAACTTTAGAATTCATGAATACATACATAATGATACGCCAGTCCATGGCTAGTTATTGTATGTTTATGCATTCCAAATAGATTCGTTAGCGGTATATTGTTCTTGCTTTTTTTCTTAACCCTGACCTATATAAAGAGGAACTTTAATTAAGACACTGCAAAATGAAATAATGTTCTTTTTTCTATTTCTTACCATTGATATTTTGTGGAATGATATTCTTATAATATAAGTATTCTTAAAGTTTTTATAAATCTTAGAACAAACAAATCAATATTTTCAGATACAGATACTGCTGGATGCGGAAATTACGTGAACGTTTTACCGTGAAAAATGTTGAACAACATGCAGATATCTTTAAAGAAGAAAACACATTTTTTATAAAGGATATATGAAGATTCGACGTGGATTTTATTATCATGATTTTTTTTTTACTTTTTGTATTTTGATATGGATAACTTCAATTAAATATTGTTTAGTGTACTTGGATATATGTGTAACAAACGTTTAACATAATTGTTTTACTGTTTTTGATGATCACTTCTATCTTTCTATTTGTTTCTTATTTGTGATTGATTTAATGTCATTTTGGAAATCTGTAAATAGAACGCTTTCGATATCCTTCAATGCATCTATAATATTTCCTTTAATAACTCGAAGAATTTTATCTATTTATGAGAAAGATATCGATATAAATATATATAGTAACTGTCCTTCATGAATTATTTCCCTTTATTTGTAACGTATCAATTAAGTGTTGACACAAATCAAATAAACATTTTTGTTATTTCTTCTCTAAAAAGAATGTAATTAATTGATTATTATTATTCATCTAAGGCTAGTCCTATGCTTATATCCATAGCAGAAGTGTCCTAATTATGCTGACATTACCTTGAAATATATTATATTTTTGTGATGAAATAAAATGGTTCAACTTCCCTATGTGTTCATCTGTTTTACCCACTCATCATGTAAGGTAATATCTTTAAACATTTTAATAAACCGTTGGATTGAAATGCACATTAACACGCTCAGCTCAATAATCAATATGTGTTCTTCGTTGAAACTTGCCATAACAATTGTACTAGATCAGATGCGATTGATTTTAATTATGCTGAATTTACACGACGGTTGTTATTTCTGTTATGTTCAAAAAATATGATCAACATATATACAGTTATATCAGTTATCAGATTTAATGGTAGGGATTGTCAAAATTTTTTCTTACATACAACCAATGAGTCATATAAAATATTAATCGATTTTAAAATACATCTAAGTCAGTGAAATAGTATTAAAGTCTAAATTGGTATATATAAAACAATCAGAATCATTAACTTAGTTGTCATGTAATATACGACATACGACCACAAAGGTCTAGGCCCGATATACTTCTAGCCACTACACTGACATTTACACACGATACGTCGATACAGATATCTTATTGAAGATGACTGACCGAGTTACCCGCATTTTACATAGATTAAGTATCATAAATAAAACACACTTTGATCAGTAGATTGGTGTGTCATTTAGACCAAATGGAGAAAGTTGAAATTAGAGCCGTTATTAAGTACCTCTGTAATAAAAGGATGTCGCCCAAGAAAATCAATGAATACTTCATGGATACACTTGGGAAGGAGTCCCCTTCCAATAGCACTGTAAAAGAATGAGCTGCTGACTTTAAGAGGGACAAGGAGAGCATTGCAGATGATGAGCGGCCTGGGGGCCAAAAGAGGCCTGCCGAAGCTTTGCATGATATGGTCATGTGCGACAGAAAGCGAGACCTGCGAAGCATTGCTACGGAAGCGTGTATAAGCTGCAATTCTGACTGATGTCTATAGTATGTCAAAGGTTTCTGCAAGATAGGTCCAAGACAGATGACTGACGACCAGAAACGGACCTGGCTTGACATTTCAAGATATCTTTTGTCTCGTAACTCAGGATGAAACATGGGTCCATCACTTTGACACAGAATCCCCCCAAAAAAACAAAAAGACAGAGCATGCAAATGAAACACCCTGGCTCACCCCTTCGAAGAAATTATAGAGGGTGCCTCAGCAGGGAAGATGATGGCTTCAATTTTATGAGATAGTCAGGGGATAATCATGATCGACTATCTTGAACATGGTCGCAACAATTGAGACGTCTGCGTCAAGAAATCGCGTTAAAAATGAGGGGGAAACTGACTCAAGACGTTCTGCTCAGCACGACAATGCGCCAGTTCGCACATCCCAAGTGGCATAGGCTTCTTCAACTGACTGCAGCTTTGATATTGTTCCCCATCCCTCATATTCTCCGGACTTGCCCCCCTTTGACATCTACCTATTTCCGAAACTGAAAACCAAGCTTCGTGGAAGACATTTTGGATTTTTGGACAATGGAGGCGGTCAATGTGTTCTTTGAATACCAAAATAGAGAGTTCTTTTTTGAAGGGTTAAGCAAGTTGGACACAGGTGGACAAAGTGCATTGATCTACAGGGCGATTATATTGAAAAGTAAGACCATTAGTTAGATTCTGTGACTACCGGAAGTACATCGATTCAATAACTTTATAGCTTATAATATTGAAAACATCAGCATAATGTGATGCAACGAACACTTTGTACATAAATAAAGGATATTGAATAAGTGTAAGTTTAATACTGAAATTATTGAATGAGTTTAATAGAAGTATATAATGCGATGAAGTTCTGTAAAATCTCCTTACATTTTAACACAATGTATGCAGTTATTACTTGCTGCTCCTAAAGAAGCAAAATTTACTTGAGGCGGAATTCATTCCTGTTGATAATTCTATTTCAATATGAAATATTATTTTATCCGCATTCAAATAAAGTCCGGCTACAGTGAAAATTATCTATTATCAATTATAATTTCTGTGTGAAAATTATCAAATATAATTTCACTTCCACTGCAAAGCATGTTATAAAACGTCATGATTATGTAATGCGTTACAAACGCGCATTTTTATATGGAAAAGTGTTATACTTACGAATTTATGTACTACATAGAAGCTTTGTTTTTTTTTCTATCAAAAATATCTTATAATTTCTGCCTGCAACTTTATCATTCACAGGATGTTTTTGTGGGTTATAAACATGCCCAAACCTCGCTCCGCCACTGTCCAATATCGATAGCTTTAAACATTGTGACACTTATCTGTGTCAATCATAAAACGTGTCTTGATCTAATTTTCACATTATCAAGAAACCTTGGCCGCAGGGTCCCTAATTTTACACGCACACTCCGCCTTTCAATAGTAAATTTTTGTGCCATGTTATATTGAAATCCCTCTATGCATCTAAAAGTTTTGCTCCGGACATGCGTTTTTCTATGACCTCTGAGTGTGACCTTGGCCTTTGACCTTGAGGCCTGGTTTATGCGTACGACACGGCTTCTCATAGTGGTGAACATTTGTATGAACTTTCATTAGAATCCCTTCATATGTGTAGGAGATGGGCTCTGGACAAAATCTCTTTATTTTATTATCTTTAGTGACCTTGACAATCATCTTGAATGACATTGACCTTGCATATATTAACCTTAATTGCATGTTTCACACCAGTAGTCATGATAATGACCATTTGTGTTTCAATCCCCAAATAAATGATGACAAAATGGTCAAATATGTATTTTCATATTTTTATCTGAACTTTGACCCCTATTTGTGACCTATAAAATAGGCGTATAAAATGTAATGTTATTCTCGAAATGAATTTGGCTCTATAATTACGCTGTTGACTATCCTCATTTTGCTTTGTAAAGACGCAAAATTTTGTTTTGGGTATCATACAACATTATAAACCGGCGATGTGTGTTTCCGTTTTTGCAATCTTCACTTAAATAAAAAAATAAGATAAACAAGATCAAAAGGGAAAGGCGGTGTTCAATGAACGCAGCCCCACACGATCCAGCAACAAGAGCCAGTGGCAAGGAGCCCAGGAAGACCCAAAAACAAAAACAGGACAGGGCACAAGGAAGTATTCATAGTAAGTAGGCTTATAATCCATGAGGAAATTATTTCAAAAGAAATAAATGAATAGAAAAGGTACATGTACTTGATCTTATCCCAAGTACATGTGGCATCATTTGGTTTCGAAGTATTTTTTAAAATTTTGAAATAATTAGCAATTGTTATATAGAATCATATTTGGAATAATAACAAAAAATAGAGTGAAATAGGAATCCCTAAAGAAAGCCCAACGTGGCAAAATTGAAATGGTTGCATGCTCGGTTTGATTAAGCCTGTACATGGACAGTACTGACAAGTGCAAACTACCGCGTCCACGCCCTCAAGCACCGGCTTAAGCATAATTCAACATTTTACATGAACTGGTAAAATTTAGAATTTTGAAACATCCCCAGATTCATATGGCGGTTATCATGGAACCTTCAATGTGACACGTTCAATGAAAAGCAGCATATGGTCCCTAAGTGAAAAGATACGTGTGCCCTAAACGAGAAAACAGGGGGGCGGAACTGAATAAAATGGAATTTTGAAAGGGGATATGAGGGTATGAAGCCTGCATATCACAGATATAACGTCAAAAGACAAATTTAAAAAGCAGGCCTCATATCCTAAGGGTCATAAAACAGTTTTCAAATGAAGAATACTGAAACCACCCAACAAGAAAGATGCCGAATATATAGAACTACCAAAAGCACAACAATAATGCCGTTCTGAACGATCTCTAAGGTTCAAAATATAACATCCCTGATTGAATGTAGGGTGCGACTTTTTACAGCCTCCACACGACACAAACAACGCTGATGTGGCGATAAAAAAGAGTGAAATAAGAATCCCTAAAGAAAGCCCAACGCGGCAAAATTGAAAATGTTGCAGGCTCGGGTTGATTGAGCCTGTTAATGGACGGTACTGTCAAGTGCAAATTACCGTCCACGCCCCCTAGCACTTGACCACTGGAACAATGAGACGGGTACATGGGTTGAGCATGGAGAGGACAAAAATTATGAACTTTGCAATTCTGATCGTTCGTTGACTACACGTGACGTTAATTTAACTTCCTTACAACTGATTGTCTTCTTTTATACATACACCGCCTCTGTTAACGAATCTAAATTTATAACAAATACGTCGGGATAACACAGAATGGTTCAAAATTAGATAAAATCATTGTTGAAAATATTGTGATAAATGTATTAAGGATATTTATTCCACGAAGATGAACAGACTTTGGAAAACGGTTCGTTTTATTCAAACTTTTTCCTTTGTGTCAAGTGTTACGTTTACGTAATGTTATGATCTTTATTTATGTCAACATTTCAATTTGTTGTATCTTTGCCTGAAGAAGTTTTCTCTGTTTGATAATTTTCAAGAATAACAACTACACTTTGAAATTGAAATGGCCATTTAATAATAAATGACGGAAAAACATATAATACAATGTTGATATGAAAGTTATCAAACTAACATAAAATTGTGAAATGGCCATTTAATAGTAAATGACATATAAACATATAAAACAATGCTGATATGAAAGTTATAATATAACATAAAATTGTATACAAAGCAAGCAAACATTTCTGAAAAATGTATATAAAATTATATACACACATATCCCGAAAAATTATCAAAGGTTGGGTTCTAAGAATATTGCCACAAATTGTGTAAAACACAATTCCCCCAACCATTTATTTATCTTCAATTTTACATACTCAGTTTTTATCAACTGTGTAGAAATAACTGCTTTTCATTATATGATAAACATGTACTTTTGTCAATGTAGTCATTTTTTGATAACTTAACAATAAATCTTGATTATGCTTATTGCGAATATACATACCTGTATATCAAAGACTCATTAAAGCCATAATAAATTTTCATTGTTAAAAAAAGATAATTATACCCAGTTTTCGTTGAAACCGTTATTGAAGGTTCAACATTTGATTATAAATCAATGTACTCGTGATATTTCTTTTATCTATTTCAGGTCTTATGTGTTATAAATGTTCTAGGCTATATTGGCAGATATTTTGTACTTGGAAGTATGTACATATTTTATAATTTTATAAGATGCAACAGTGTTTCTTAAAATATTGACATTTTCTTAAGGATATTCATTAGGAAAATGTTCAGGACATTGTAGATAAATTTTAGGTGACTGTTGAAGTCAGTCTAGACCACATACATATATACATTGTACTGTAAAAGTTAAACTACTAATACGATCCTGTAATAACGCTTCAATAACACGAATACTATTCCTTTTAAGCAGCACAATAACACTTAAAAATGAAAACAATAAATAAATATATAATGATAAAAAGATAAAATAACATTAATATAGACATGACAATGTCAATCTGCGGAAACAAAATATATGTCACCAACCTAAGAAATACCAATCAAGAATTGATATTATCAAAATTATCACATAAGATTATATTATATTCATAAGCTGATTATAAATGGAATACTGTAAAAATCATAATAAATGGACATTAAAAGTAAAAAACGTGAAAAAACCCCACAAAACTTGTTTAAAAATGTCTTCTTACATTATCCTACTTATTGTATGAACTTGGGAAACTACATCTGAATAAAGTCTACTTCATTAATAGAAAAACCCTATTTGAAATAGTTAAACATATTATCGTAGCATATAGTATAATATTCAACATAATTTAACATTCATATCATTTATCTGAAATATTGTGCTCTGCCTAACTCGATATATGTCAGACATGGTAATTAGCATGTATTAAGCACTACTGTGTTTCTCAATCTGATTCCTCATCATCAATTTATTTTGCGTGGGTTACGTTAAGGTCTATGTATTTTATTGTTGAAACAATTTTTAAATTTATGGAGAATAAATTACCGATAAATGTATTACTTGAATGAAAATGTGATGGAAAACCCATTTAATGTAATATTTTAGTAGTTATATCCTGGTTAAGTGACTCAAAATGTAACAATACTTCTAGTTTAATGTAATAAATTGATGTATCTGATATATACTATTATTATGTTTCTTAGTCGTTCCTTTTTGAAATAATTCTTTTCAATTACTTCCAGAATTGAACCAAAGTTGTGTTACAGATGACATTAGCTGTAGTGTATGCTGTGCTAATTTAAGGTGCACTCAAAGGTTTGATTTTCCCTATGCATGTGCAGATGGATGTATAGATGGCCACAGAGGTGCCCGATGCTATGAACTTTGTAATTTTACATGCAAATCTTGTGATAATTCTGTAAGTTACTGTGATTCATGTTTTGATGGATATTTCTTAGGACCGAATAAAGATTGTAAGTCAAAGTGTCCTTCTAACTGTAAAATATGTACTTCTGATACCAACTGTACAACTTGTAAAGAAGGATTCATCAATAAAGACGGATTCTTTGATTGTAGTAGATATTTTAATTGTCCTGAAAATTGTTATTGCAATTTCTCGACATGTGCACTGTGCAAAGATGGGTTTTATGACACAAGAGAATCATGCCTGAACAAATGCCCGGATAATTGCTATAATTGTTCAACTTATACGGATTGTTATTCCTGTAAAGATGGATTTTATAGTAGTGATGACCAGAAAGTATGTTCAAATACATGCTACAAGAATTGTATAAGCTGCTCATTGCACGATAAATGTTTAAAATGTAAAACCGGAAAGTTTGGAGATCAGTGTCAGAATAATTGCTCAGTTGGCTGCAAAGATAATAGTTGTTCTTTCGAAACTGGAAAATGTATATGCCTACCTAATTTTGATGGTGCTACTTGTTCACAGTGTGTACTTGGACAATTTGGTACCTTGTGTGACAAGGAATGTCCCGATAATTGTAAAAACAATATGTGCGGAAGAACTCGAGGAAACTGTACAGAAGGATGCAAATCAGACATTATGTCTGGAAGTTACTGCGAAAATTGTATTGTTGGAAAATATGGCTTATATTGCAAGAATAATTGCTCGAATAATTGTTTAAATGGTAAGTGTGACAAGGCAAACGGTACATGTTCTGAGGGTTGCAAGGATGATTTCAAAGGACCTTTCTGTTTGGAATGCATTCAAGGTAAATATGGAGAAGAATGTAAAGACGACTGTCCAGATACTTGCAAAGATAACGAATGTTCAAAAAAATCTAGGCATTGCTTTGAATGTAAGGAAAATTTTGACGGAATGATGTGTGATTTCTGTAAATCTGGCTTTCATGGCTCAGATTGTGAACAAAAATGTTCCTCAGGGTGCACGAAGATTTCTTGCAATAAAGATTCTGGCAAATGTAGCCATGGGTGCAAGGATGGATACTCTGGAGATAAATGTTGTATAAACAGCAATAATTGTTTATATTGCAAAAATAACACAGTTTGTCGTGAATGTAAATCCGGGTACTTTGGTCAAAGCTGTAATCGGATATGCAGTGATCTGTGTATCAACAATGTTTGTGAGTTGAACACTGGCATTTGTACGGAAGGATGTAGAGCTTCGCTGGATGATATAATTTGCGTCCACAAGGCCGGTAAGTTGATCAATTTAATTAACTCATTAGATACTAAAACTACAATTTATGTTTCAAAGCCACAGCATCAAAATATAAATAAATAAATAAATTAATGAATAAATGAATTAATTTAATAAAGACAAAAGAAATAAAAAAGTTATATCAATTGTGAGTTGGGCTTAGAATAAAAATAGAACTCAATTTACAGAGAAATATTTCATTAGGTTTGAATGACTTATTACATTTAGTTTTAGCTAAGAATTTAAAACAGGGTGCCACCAGATCAATGCTAATTTTCATGACAATTTTGAAACTGTATTGAAATGTAAAATATTGTGAAGTGAACAAAGTCATTTCCACATTGCAAACGACATATTTAATCCACGTAAAATAGAAATAGTTAAAATAGCCTATACTGCGTTAGACACGCAGTAGAAACATGGTGATAAATACTGCAAAATCAGTCATCAGTTGCAATAAACATGTAAATTATTACGTGCATTTTAAATTCTTTTTACATTTCTTGAAGTCTAAGAACATTTTTTTAAGTATAATTTTCTTGAAATATTTTGGATCATTTAGAGACATGCAGCTTTAAAAATTACACCGACGTTGACGGCATATGTTGATTAATCAGCTGTTCTGCCTTAGGAAGACTAGGGCGATCCTTTGTCAATTATTTTAGTCTCTAGCTTAAGATGGAACCTCACTCTTCTTCGCCAACAAAAACTCTTTTACATAGCTTAATGGGCATACAAACAAGTCGTGTTGAAGGAACTGCCTGAAAGTAACGAATTTCTTATTGTGATATTCGAAATAAATATACTCGTTCATTATTTTTAGTTATGGACTAAGTATTGTATTGAAAAATGAGCATATTGCTCTGATGCTATATGGCTATTAACGAGAATTATTTGCTATTGGTTATTAAAAAGCGGGTACCATTATGGGCATATCTTGTTTATTCATAAAAAGAAACATATTTATGATGACAATTTAGTTATATTTTATTATAATACTGTTTTAATCATTTGTCGAAAACAGAAATTAAACTTTATTGATACCTTTAGTTGATTCATTTAAAACCCCACTTAAACTACTCGCATACTGTTTAATTTATGTTTTCAGCAAAATCACTTAATGATAACCAAAATGATTCCAATGGCACTTTAATCACAGTTTTAGGAACACTGTTGGGTGTTACATCTGTTTCTTTATGCGTTTTGATATCAAAAATGATTCTAGAGAAATTCGTCGCGTCAAAAAGGTAAAACTGTATTAGATACTTTATACGTTATAATTTGACACCATCTAAAAATAAAAAAGTAAAGGAAACTATGCATTGTTATAGGTTTTGCTTGATAAACAATCGGCAGATGATATTTTGACTTTTAATTTTAGGAGGAAAAAAGAGGAATCGACTACACTTATTGGTATTGAAAGCGTTACAGTTGAAATGCACAATAGCTCAAATGGAGGTAAATGTGGATTCTTAATTTGAATAATTTATTGATACATGCAATTATGAAACTACGATAATTTAATTAAATTACAAATATTAAGTATGTAGTTTATGCCATAAATGGTCAGATATGTGTTTTGAATAATTAACTGATTATAAAATGATAAATTTTATGATAGCTTGTCAGCCAACAAGTTAAGCAAATGGACATTTTTGCTGAATATCCAAAAATCTTTAGAAGACAGACAATGCGATAATTTAAAAATCGTAATACAAAAATATACATTAAAATAAACAGCATTTGATTATACATTTAATCATATTTTGATGTTTGTTTTCTTCATAAACAAAACAATTAAGATTTTACATGCATACATAAAACAAACAATTGAGGAATAAGTTTACAGCATTTACAGGGAAGCTAAGTTATATTTATAAATAGCAAATTGGTCTTGCCACCATTTGAAAGTTTGCCCTTCCTATTGAATTTGATATGAATAAAGGGGGAAGAAAAATATATTGTTTATCTCAAAATAAAAGTCACGTTAGTAAAATAAAAAGAAAATCAATTTTTACAATACACTTGCTGAATGCAATCACTTGTTCAAAAGCATAACCACAATTTAAACAAATATAAATTTCAGATGAAATTGTTGGAGATGAAAGTGCATACGAAACATTGGATGTTAGATGTAAGATAACTGCTGCTTTATAATGTTATATCGTTATATATAGTTATATATCGAGAAACAGTTAATATATATTATAAAGTTTTTAACTGATTTTAAAACAAACATTTTTATACCAATTGAACTGAATAGTTATCAATTTATTATCCTTATTCAAAAAATATTTTTAATTAAGTTTTGGTTTCTTATTTGCTTTTTTACGTAAAGTTTTATTACACTTTAAGCTCTCGGTAATAACAAGTATGGTTCAGCAAACGTCCAAACATCTGAAGGTATATAGATTTATTATATTTACTGCAAGAGGTTATATCAGTTGTACTAATGGATAGTAGATTGAGTTGGTTTACACATTTCATTAAACTTTACTAAAGATTAAGCTTCATAATGAATGATTTTAAAAATTATTTAACACAAATAAATAACAATATGATTTTAGATATATTTAACACGTTCTTAAAAATTTTTCTTCTTTAATTTGATTGTCATCACAGAAAAATGGACTGTTCATATGTCCCGTTCATAGAATTTGAAAAGAAATTACTTTCATTTTATAATCGAACGAACGTTTGATTATGAACAATATTTCTTTATCATTTAAAAAATCATAAAATCTCAGTTAAAACATATTTTTTATACATTTCAGATAAAGCTTCTGATGAAAAGGAGCAATATGTGAACATGATGATTTAAGTCTTTGACGTGAACATAACATCAAAAATCATTATGACATCATTGACGATGAAGTGAAAATTTTGTCTCTAGATTTTGCAATAAGTTGTACATGCGCTGTGATGGTGTTATATTTGATGAAATGACAGATTTGAAGAATATATTGTTCAAAACAATTCTTTCTTATGATAATTTAATTAGTCTAATACATTCATTAATGTCCCAGAGATATTGTCCCAGTTTTAATAAATAGCCAATTCGTCAACAAAATCAGTTTGGCGTTAAAGAGTAATTGACTATAAATGGCACAATACTGTCTACAAAGATTGTGTTGCTTACTTGTCTTTATGTTTTGTAATCCTTAATACTCTGAAAATCATATGTACTGTTTTACTGTATATAATCCCTTTTAAAATCTTAGATATATGCAAGAGAGAATAAATATACATGTATTATACCAACACTAAAATGTTTTATTTATGTTTTAATTATATCACATGCACAATACATATTAAAATAGTAGTTAACATCATAATCCTTTCTTTGTTGAATTTGTATAATCAGAAATTAAAACATATCGATTTATATAAGGAATGCATTTTTAAAACACTATTACAAAATGATGAAAATAGTACAAATTCAGGTCTTGTTTACTTTTAAACTGGACTGGATTCTAGTGAATAACCCCTACACAAGAAACCTGCTTTTATGAAGATTTTTTTTACAATCTTCCTCTAAGTGTTTTAAATGATTAATTAGTGCACCTTGTTGAAACAGTTTCATTGTTTTTATAACTCGAAGTTGAAAACAAAATTAATGAAAATAGGAGATGATTAACAAGTTTCCGGATAGAGTCAAGGAAAATGTAGAGGTTTATGCACATTCATTCATTTTCATAAGAAAAATAATATATCCAATATCTATGAAATTAAGGCTTTTTTCAGATTCTTAGCCTTGCCATTTGTCAGTATAGCACGTGGGGTCACCATCCTATTTTACACCACACAATATAAGAATACCGATTCCTAATTAATTGGTCATTGCTAGTGTAATCCTGTATTCTCTATTATGTGTGTTTTACGTATTCGTATTGTCTCTATTTTCTTTAAAAAAGGTATGTATGTTGGTTGGCTTGTACAAATAATAAATCTTGTCAAATAAGCCATAGTTGAAAAGAATTAAGAAATACAGTATTTGTATAATATATATTGTGATTTACATTTCCATATCAATGAATATATTATATATATGTTTATATGAATAATATTGCTTAATAAAAACAAGGTAGGAAATAGAGAAATAAAAGTATGATTGAATTTAAATTAATTTAAAGTATTTACAAAGAAAAACTTTATCTACAAAATTTAATTTATTTCAGAAAAAGTTGATAAAACAAATGGTTCAAAGGACACTTTAATTGCAGTTTTTACAACTCTTTTTGCTATTACAACTGTTGCACTATGTGTGTTGATATCGAAGATGGTTTTAGAGAAATTCTTCTCAGCAAAAAGGTAAAACTGTTTTATATAATGCTTACCTGTGAAATACTTGGTTCTATCCACGGAAAGAAATGAACATCGATCAAAGTTTATCCCTCACATTTAGTTTGTTAAAGTATTGCTGATTTATTTTTTGTTGCCGTGAATATTAATTTTTAGAATAAAAACTTTCGCTGCAAGTTGTTTTTATGCTCACAATTATTAAAAATGACAAAACTTGACTAACATTTGTTGGCGCATTGTTTGCTTAGCAGTTAAATGGATGGTGTCATCTTCGTGTCATGCGCATCTTTAAAATAGTCGAAAATTGTTGCGTTGTACTATATACGCATAAGAGTAAAACAGTTTATTTGTTTTTTGGCATTATTGCATACTCCATTTATAACATCTGCATTCATTTGATATGTAACTTTGTTGTACATTTTGTATGTTCTACTATTATGCATTTTCTCTTTTAGCCATTTAAATAGTATTATATTGTCTTTGTTTTTATCTGAAATCAAACTGAGAAACACCTCAAAAACAAGCAAACGACATCGAAATGAGAAATATACACAAATCATTTTTCTTACTTCTAAGTGCAGTATATATTAAGTAACACACAAACACACATTCTCTATTGACTTATCTTTACAATATTACATCAAACCAGTCTAGAAATCACGTTTGAGTATTGTTTCACTTTTTGTTTCAAAATAACTTAACATTTTTATGATCTGCACTCAACAAATGTATACTAAATTTCAGGAGACATGAGGATACTATGGAACTGAGCATTACCACCAAAAGGCAGAATATCACAAATTGTTGTAAGTATATATACTTCTTTAAAAAATGAAGTGATGCATTTACTAAAAAAAAAGATTTATTCAAATAGAATTCAGTGATAATATGACATTTGTTAATTGGTAAATGTTGTATTGTAATGTCAATACATTTAAAACTGACGTCGACAAAATCAGTGGAACATATTAGTATAACTAAGATAGAAATTTGGTTTATAAACTAGAAATGTGCTAGTTAAACACGGATGCCTTCAGTTTATTCATTTGGAGGTACACGTGACAATATTCAAAATATAATAATTCTGACTAAACTAAGGTCGAAAACTCTGCTACCCTGTAACTTATTTTGGAAAATTATCTAGATTCTTAACTGCGATTGGAGAAAGTTTCATGGTTCTAGCATTTATGATTTCTTGCATATAATACAGAATTATTAACTGCTTACACCTGGTGTAAAACAAGTGTAAGTCAAGTCGTTTACGTTAAATGGTTTCATTCTCATGAGCCTTTTTTAATGAATGAATTGCGCTTTAAGGATAACGACATTTTGCTGTTACAAGTTTCATGACTCTAGCTGTTTTAGTTTTTGAGTTACACGCTACACAAATATTTGCTGTTTGATCTTGGTGGCAAGACTCTGCTGAACTCATATGGATTTGCGTCCGAATTCTTGGGTTTGTAACTTAACAAACTTCAGGCTTTTAGCATTTGTATATTCAATCAGACAGTTATAAATTAGGGACGATTATTAACTCAGCATCAATACTTTGGTTAATTGGTTCACATACCGACGATTATGCCACTGAATCAGATCTCGTTAATATGATACCGAAACATGTCTATATCTTAAATAACATTTCAGATGGAATTGAAGAAAACGAAAATGTACCATACGAGACACTGGATGGAACGCAGCGTAGTTAGACGACATTTTTATTGAATTTTATTACAGATTTACAAACATAAAACCATATTGGGCTATATATGTTTATTTGACAATTTGTTACAGATACAGATACAATCATACCAGTGTATGATACAGTATAGCAGGTGAATATTTTGTTCAGAAACATTTCATTCTGATTTAATTGATGTTCCGTGTTCACAGACGTAATTATAAAAATTATGAAACAATGAAAATATATTTAATGTTTTTATATATTCCGCCAGTTATTACTTTGCACAAATTTAATTGAAAATTTTGTTTGCCAAAACTAAAACAATGTAAAAGGATTGCTATGTTTGAAAACATTATTATATTGAATTATATTTTAAGCTTTCAATGATCACATGTATGTCTCAGCAAACGTCCAAAGATCCGAAGGTAACAATCATAACGTTATTTTTAAGATAGAAATCATGTTTTAAACTTTTTCACCAAGCTTTCAATTCAGGCTTCATGAATACATATATGTTGTTTTGATAGTCCATGGCTAGTTTATGTATGTTTATGAATTCTATATAGACTCGTTAGTAGTATGTTGTTACTACATAGTATCCATATGGTAACCTATGAAAAGAGGAGCTTTTTTATTTAGACAACAAAATTTATATTGATTGTTTATAGACTGAAATAACGTTCATTTTCCACAGTTATACCGTAGATATCTTTTCATAATGATAATGATATTCTAAAACTTTATATATAAACCATAGAAAACAAATCAATATTTTCAGATACAGATACTGCTGCATGCGAAAACTATGTGAACATGCAACGTTAACATCTTTGAAGAAGACGTAAAATGTACATGAAAGATACATGAAGAATTACACATTTTTTGTATTTTGATAAATATAACTTCAATAAATTTTAAGTTTACGTGGATATAATGTTACAAACATTTTACACAAACCATATCTATAGCAGATTAACTTGCTATATGGAAGCATTTTTATACTCCTAGGAAATAAATATTCGGACGAAATAAATAAACGGACAAAAACTTTCTTCATTGGCGTTGAGAAATAATCTATCAAGATTTGTTTTCTTCTTTTTGTAATTTTAATTGATTTAAATATTATTTCTAAAATCTGTATTGTACTTTCGTATTTTATTGTTTCTGTGTTATTTCTTGTAATTACATGAATAATCATATATATATTTAAAAGAAAGATACCGATATAGATGATAAACAGCAAATTTGCTCATGACTTGGTTCCTTTTATTTGTAAAAATCCAATTTTGTACAGTATATACAATAACACAAATTGAATGAACAATGTTGTTATTTCTCATCTAAGAAGTAATTTTATTTATCCATTTTAGACTAATCCATTTATTCTATTATAAACAAGAGAAGTCTCATCATTATTCTGGTAACATTTTAGAAAATATCATACTATTATGATGTTATGAAATAGATCAACAGACCCTTTTGTCTGTTTAACTCACCCATAATAACAAAACATGTATGCAAGGTACAATGTTAAAGTTTTAATAGTTTCATTGAACATGTTAGATGGGAAAATGATCCCCGGAAGCATTAAAAACAGCAAAAGTACATGGATATTGCAGCCCGGTTTGATTACGCCTGCACATGAGGGATAAAGAAAAAGCCCAACATCCCACACACCCGCAGCACCGGTTTGGGCGCCATTAAACACTCAAAAGTACTGGAATCAGTGATCCCAAAGAACCAAAACTATTAACAACACTGGAGTTCACATTGTTACATTCAAGTAAGCATTCAATTTGTATTTGAATCCTCTATTAAGTTGTTAAGAAGTTTGCCAACCATTTCACTGAAACAGATGCGATGATAATCCAACTGATGTTACTTAATTTACACGATAGGCAATATTGCTGTTCTGTACATAGCGGAAGATCATCATATATATACAGGGCAAAACTTCTAACTCAATTTCGTATATAATTATCAATAATTTATACAGAACTGTACATAGATAAATTATATAATGCTAAAATGTCACGTTATCATTTCTGAACAAGTTGCGTAATTAAATTAAATTAAATTTTAACAAAAACTCATTTACTCACAAACGGTATTTGCTTTAACTCATCTGGGATATTGAATGTAACATTTTTGGAAAGAGCATCGTCTCATAATAAAGGTTAAAATGTGTATATCTAGTTTGTCCAATTATACATCTATGAAGAACACTTTAATCATGAGGGTTTAGAAGAGAAATAGAAGGTGATTTATCTAGACAAGGATTGATATCATAAAGTTTGTTAAATGCAGCTTTGTCCCAATTTAATTTTCATTCAGAAGAAATAAGTTTAGTAATTAAGGGTTGTTTAAAAATTACTGGTTGAGAATTTAAGTATTTTACCCAAAGCATCTGCTTTATCATTTGCTCGTAATTCTACGTGGCTTAGGATTCAACATATGAGTTAGTTTTTAAAAGATCATGAAATTGCAAGAAGAGTTTTTAGTCAGTATATCATCAGACTTTTTTGACTGGTTTGATTTTGGTAAAATGTTCATCCTAAGGGCATTTTTAGTACAAGCAAGTATTTGGCATTACTTACCTATTTCAAGTACGCTGAATTCAATTTTTGCTCTACCACGGCTGTATTTTTAATCCTTGACCTCTAAAAATCAATTTCAAAATGGCCGCCATTGAATTTTTTAATTTTACTTTAATTCTCCCATAGGCGAGATATATACATATTTTTTGGCAATTTAACTTAAGGTTTTGTTAATTTTAGCCTGCTGAAATGTGAACGAGAAGAATAGATGCAAAAACAATAAAATTTATTGCGGCAGCCATCTTGGATTTCAAAATGGCTGACAATTTCCCATGTTTTATACACTGTTTTATAATTAAAGTAAACAAGCACAAGAAGGTATTTTACTAGGCATGTTTTCTTTTATTAGAAGTGCAATGATACTAATTAAGACTTCCAAGTGAAGACTTTGAAAAACATCCATTAAAACTACAAACTTTATTGTGAAAATGTGACAATTTATACCATTATACAATAAGTCATATTTGCGTTCACTTCGCTATTTAGATGTTATTTTTATACTTTTAAAAATACAATGCATGTTCTTTCAATTATTGCGATGTTTTTTAAATTGGATTTGTATCGCCCTGAGGGGGGGGGGGGCCTGCTCAAATGTCTGTCCGTCTGTCTATCAATCTGACCGTCCTCTTGTGTCAGTTAGGGGTATTTGCGATCACAAATTGGCGTTTATTTTAATTCCTTATACCCCCGACCTAAAAGATGAATCATTGGTTATGGGAGGCGAAAGGCTGCTGTTTGAGTAAGAAACAAACATGAAGATAACAGACATCTTCACAAATCTCTCAATAAGAGCTTGTCCCTGTCTTTCCGTTTTTAATCCCGTTCATATATGTCATTTTCGGATAGATTTTGAAATAAATTGCATTAATGTGTAGCACGTGGATACAATGTCATAAGAAAGACACAGGTTTGAAGCTCAACTCCTCATGTTAGACTTGAAAGTGCTTGAAAAAAGATGTGAATTTTAGTATTCTGTCTTTAAGAGTTGAATTTTGAAATAATTAAGCATAAATATACGGCCTATAACGGATTGGGAAATGATGTACTTATTATTACTAAATCTTCAAACAGGGATACCATGAACATTGTTTGGTTTTTTCTTATGTCAGTGTCAATTGCGCAAGAACATGTACTGGGACGAGTAGTGCTCAAGAGCCAATTCAACAATCCTTAAAGAGCTGGGTCATGTCTAGCAAGAAAGACAATTTTGTGAAAGTTCATTAGTAGGGAACCCGGTCAACAATTTTCCATGCACGACCTGATATTTAAAAAAAAGTCATAGTATTTCCAAAAGTAATATAGGAATCGCCATCCAGGCTGGCATTCGAAAAAATATTTTTTTTCATGAAATAAACTACTATTCTATTGTTTCTTCTTGTAAGAGAAATATTCTATATAGTGTTTATCCCATAGAACCCCCTACATACTTATGCCGAGCATCGTGCATATAGATAGTATTTTATTTGCTTATATAGGTAACCCGACAAGAACATGGTGGTTGAGGCCCCTGTGTAAGGACTTTTGTCGACTATTTGGTTATCATGTGGTATTAAATTATCCGTTTTGATTGATCTAGAGCAGGCGGTGTACGGGTAAAAATATTTAAATCTTGTCAATTGTATATGCCGCCGTCCTGGAACGACACTAACTTTGCGTATATGTGTAATTTGAAAAAGGCGTGTCATGCACAAGCAGGTTATGTCTAAAGTTAAACTTATAAATCATGACAGAAAACGTAACAAGATGGTTGTGTCCGATCTAAAACTTTCTCATTAATTGGTGCCTTTTGAAATAATTCTGCACAAATATATGGCACATATGTTAAAAATCATTTGGGTTAAATATGGCGCCTCTTTGTTAGACGACATGTTAGACGACATGTAGCGGACAAATGTTCCAAGGTCACACATGTATTTCCAAAGTCATGATATGAGAGTGCATTTGTGGCCATGTCCAGTCCATATATGTGTTATTCAGCAAGAGCTAAGAATAAATACGTGGAACAATTTGTCTTGAGTGAGAATAGATATTTTGAAGGTCATCTCCGGTCATAAATTATGTCATTCATTGGATGGATATTGGCGTAACTAGGCATACATTTGCCGCACATTAGGACTACTTGTAATGCTTAAACACTGGAATGATAGCTAGATAGGTCAATTTAGAACATTGATGGTTGTGTCTATATCTTGGTAATTTATTCATGGATTCTTTTTAAAGTAATAAGAAATACTGAAGATGTAAATAAATGCTTCTTAATGTTTCTAATTTTTGTAAAACTTTTAAGACTACAGTATCCATGCCTTCAATGTAAAAAATGGAAAACAAGATTAACAATGTTCAATAAACACCATCCCAACACGACCAAGCAACAAAGGTAATGGATCCTCAACTGAGCCGAGCTTCGGAGACCTTTCACGTGGCACGCCCTTGTTTGACTTTGTTTTACATAATTGTCGGGATAGTGCAAAAATAGTTGGTACACATTTTAGTGACTTATATTACACTAAGAAATACCAAAGTACTTTTATGGAGTGATAGTTGATAAAATAATTATATTGTGGCAAATGACATCAAAATATGTTATATCATAATGGAATAAGAATTCATCAATTTTTTGAAAGATAGCCAAGAACAAAATAAGTATGAAGATTTGAATATATCTTAGTCACTTGAATGATTTTAAAACATGAGATAGAATAAGGTACAGCGTCCTTGGCAAAGTGGCAGAATTATAACGTAGACGTTGATATTAACTAAGACAACGAATGAATACCAATGAATTAAAGCAAAACGCAAAAACTATCGAATTTTCACGTAAGTTAATAAAATTTAAAGACATAGGATTCGAAGGCATATAATTTACATGATTTAATAGCAAAAAACCAAAATCCTCTATCAAATCGCTCTGTGTTAATAAAAAAGGGTAAACAGCAGTGAATCGTCAATATATTAATTGCAGAATTGGTATCAATTAACTGTCTAATCTTCTATGCATGTACCATCATCAAACACCCGCAGTTAAGACCTATAATGTTTTACTTTATATTATTCATTAACGTAAGACAGTGCAAGCCCATAGACTGTTTATGGTTCATGTTTGCGAGACTTTTTTTCAAAGTGAAATACAATAAAGATTAAAATGACTTTACCATTTATTTGAGTGTATTTCAGTTAATAAATAGATGATCTGTTTTTAACCATGGCTAGGCATGTTTAAAGTTTGATTGATAAAAATGACCCTTTATAAAGTAGATATATCAATACAACAATAAAAGATATTGTATAAACACATCTGCTATATGCGGATGTTTCTAAATTCCAAATTTGACAATTTTCCCCTTTGATATATGCATTTTGCGTAGGCCGGTGCTTGGGTGCTTGGACGTTACCTTGCAATTGCCAGTTACGTCAATGTACAGGCTCAATCAAATC